ACTTTTGGAGCGGTTATCGTCTTACATAAAGGTTGTCAGGGACATCTGGAAGAGTTGTAGGCTCACAGACAGGTTGTCAGGAACATTTGGAGCGATTATCGACTCAGAAAGGTTGTCAGGAACATTTGGAGCGGTTATCGGCTCAGGAAGGTTGTCAGGAACATCTGGAGCGGTTATCGCCTTACAGAAAGGCTGTCCGGAACATCTGGAGCGGTTATCGTCTTGCATAAAGGTTGTCAGGGACATCTGGAAGAGTTGTAGGCTCACAGATAGGTTGTCAGGAACATCAGAAAGAGTTGTAGGCTCACAGAAAGGTTGTCAGGAACTTCCGGAATGTTTATTACGGTCGATTGTCCTGAAGGGATGAAGGAAAAATGGAAACGGTTATGAAAATTTCAAGGAACAACTGATGAGTTTTGTGTTGTATGTGGCAACTGACAGTATTGTCACAGCACTGGAACTTTGGAAAATGGAAAACCAACAAGGTCGTCACATAAGTTGTCTCGTGAGTTGTTGAAGAGAAAACTCTTGTCATTATCATGAGAGGTGAAAACGGATCAGCTTTTCATCTGTCTTGAAACTTCACCCCTTTAGTTGAGTGTTGTTTAAAAGTTGATAGTAATCTATGTTGAATAAGTGAGAACTGTCGAGCCTACACCTGAAAATAAGGTTGAGTTTGTGCCCCCATGATTCTTAAGACGTCATGTGCAAGACACCTGTTGTGAAATTCCCACCGATAGGATACCCTTGTCAAATACATCACTATCGAATAACCATTTCTTGTTGGTCCATTTTAAGCCACCATCAAAAGATGAGGGAACGCTTTCTTCTGCCCGTCAGTTTGTATGTTTCAAACGCCCACACATCCAGAAGGAAAGCAAATACCATGAACATGTTGATTATGTTCACATCAAATGTGTATGCTAGGAAGGGACCCGCTGTGTTATTAGGCCACTAACATGGAAGGTTCCAATCTGCATCTCTAAAACAAACATTGCCTTTTTACATGTTCCCACCTGGCATGATAACAGGTCTCAAGTACCTCCCAAAACGATTTGTTACTATATATTTCCCCATCCGCTTTGATAACAGGTCGAAGGTATCTTATACAAATATGTTTTTTGCAACTTTTCTTTGATTCGATCCAGCCTCGTCTGTCTGTCTTCTTCTGTTGCCCAAATTATTCCAACAGTTTCTATTGTTTACCAGGGCATATGCACTAAGCTAACTAAGCTTACAGGGCGAGTAAACACTGTACCCAATGTGATCTATTCCATCTATCTTGCAGTGGTGAGTAGACATGACACGATACCACTAATATTATGTAATCATCACATAAACATTTCATGCTCTGGGGGATTATTTTCCACACTGTTTGTGTTTTCTAGTAATCTTAAGCACGTTAATGTTGCTGAGATTGTAAAGAATGAAGATTGCGCTTTAATCGTAATGTAAAACAGCTGATGTTTCCTTTGTGTAGAAATGCATTCATCGTCCAACGCGTTTAAAGAAGTGTTAATTAGATTATTTTGTTAAGGTAATGTACACGAGTAATTCAAGTTGTCTACATTCCGATATGCAGTTTAGTTATTCTCTTCCATCAAGTCAACAAAGTGGAAAGCATGCCATTGCGGATTGTGGTTTTTCGTAGATGAGTTATTCCATTCTTGGTCTTCAGTTCAGAAACGAGTACTGAACTCAAAGGTTAAAACAGAAACAGTTACAGATAGCATCATGTCAGTCCCACATGGATGTGCTGCTTCCTTTAAAACGTTAGGGGCGGTGGGGTAGCCTAGTGGGTAAAGCGTTCTCTCGTCACGCTGGAGGCCGGGATTCGATTCCTCACATGGGTACCATGTGTGAAGCCCATTTCTGGTGTCCCCCGCCGTGATATTGCTGGAATATTGCTATAAGCGGCGTAAAACTAAACTCACTCACTCACTTTAAAACGTTAATGTAAACTGACCATGACAGGGATCTGCAAACATATACAACCACGTGTTCGTTTGTTGTTTACTGTCGCCATCAGCAATAACACGGTGGCCTGTATCGAATCGACCTGTATTGGATCAGAGAAAACTAGTGATTAATATCATGAGCAACGTCTCACGATGACGTCAATTAAAATCCCCGAGTCTGACAAACCTATTCATCCAATCGATTTGCATGGCAAAGATAGGTTCCTGTGACCAAATCTAGCCCTAACCCATCAAGAAACCATATAAAGCAACAGTTTGGTGGGCCAAAGTTCGACAACGCCTGGACGACAATGTGGATATTTCGGACAAGTAACTGTCACGTTTATATATACCATGAACAGAACGTAGCTAAAAGAGTGTCTGTATATCACATACTAAACTCGGATTTGAGCGCTGAAATTAACCTAGAACAATGGCACTAATGAGAAGAATTAAATCCAAGCTGACATCGAACATGCTCACAACCACGTTTCAAACATTCAACCACCCACAGTCCTTTCACAGTTTTGATTGACACATGTATCCCAATTGGTTAGATCGATGTTCATGTTGTTGATCACTGGATTATCTGGTCCAGACTCGATTATTTACAGACCGCCGCCATATAGCTGGAATATTGCAGTACTGAACAACAATCAAACCTTCCACAATCACAGAACAGTTAAAACTCGTTTATCCTGAGAGAACCACCATCAGTGAAATCGCTGGATAAAAACAACGCTTTTTACAATTGTAGATGCTCCTAACAGTAATTGTCCAGAAAACGGAGTTTCCAGATTAACGGGGTTTCAATTTCAAGGTACTGCATATAGCTGTTGAACATATTTGGAATCGCAACGAGCCAATATCTTCTGGCGTCGTTTCAAAACGAATTCCTGTTGCGTCGTCAACAAAGTTAACATTTCAAAATGAAATATTGAAATAATCTCTTACATATATTAGACATATAATAAAATCTGACTTAAAATGAGATACAATCACTATAATAAATTCAGTTAGAAATGCCTCAGCCAGTCCGTATTCTTTTTGTTCCAACAAACAGAACGATAACAATTTCAATGACGTCATAGACTTCGACAACGATGCCACCAAAGATAGCCCTGATTAACAAATAAAAACAGCCGAACCTCAACCATTCTAAACGTGCATGAGATCTCTGTGTTCTAGCCATATCGTTGAATTAAGATACGTGGGCCAATGGGTGTATGTGACGCGGGTGCAGGTGTAAACGAGATGGGGCACCAACACGTGTGTCTCAGTGGGACGGCCGAGGGTAGTAAGTGAGGGTTTACCTGGGAGCGACCACATGATCACAGAATTAGCGTTCAGGGCTTGGTGGTCTTGTAAAAGTACAAAGATAGTTGTATCGTTCCATGTTTTTCACCACACTTAATGGTTTAGTGGTTTTGTTAATGGGGATGAGTACTTCGGTGTTACATGTTCAACCACAACCGAGAAGGAATGTTTAAGACAAGAGTACAAGAAATGCCAGAAAGAACACAAAACATCGAGATTATTGTAAAACAATAAAGCAGTTGCGGTATAACTCAATTCGATGACAGGGGCGAGAGAACGATCACATGCGGCATGCAGACAACTGACGTCCAACATCAGATTGAACACTCTCCATCATCTGCTCCGGATGCTGAGTAGATACCAGTGGGTTACATTTATACTTAACATGGTATGTGAGTATGATATCATATTCACGTCATGGAATAGCAGTATCATACCACCGTGACCTATTGTCAGTAAAGTGTCAATATTACACAAAGTTTTTAAATGGTGCAACACTATCTGGTTAAATTATGTCCTGGGCGTGGTTATAGCAAACGAGTTTTCGGGTTTTCCACCATTTGAAGAAACTTTAAGGACACTAGGAAAAAGCTTCTACATGGCTAGACATCATCCACATTGCTCCAGTGCATTATGTCTCTGTTGGAGCGTCATAAATACCCTGATCCCTCTGTAACGTCATTGTAGAGGTGATTCCATCATCTGTCTCTCAACAGCGCGGAATGTCTCTCGCTCGTGTGAGCCATTTCATTGGACAGCTATTTTTAGCGTTTCAGTGGCATTCGAAAGCGAGGCTATGGCGGTGAACTGGTCCTGGGTATGTATCCTGCTGGGGTTGCTCTCATCTGTTTGAGATCAGTTTTCCATACATATCTGTGTGACACGGATCGCCCCCACACAATACACTACTTATGTATTGCTGTCGAATCATAGCGCTCTTCTACATCTCAGATTCACGTCACAGACATAAAAATGGACATACCAAGGTTTTCTTGTATCATCGTTTAATAAATATTTCGATCTATTTCTATTCCAATTTAGGAGCTCAGTTCAAACAGTCAATCCTGTTTCAGACATGTACACAGCCAAGTCATCTCTGTGTTTCAAATAGCAGTGTTTTGCACCTCACCAAACGTTTTGGCAATAAATATATAAACATAATTTCTTCCAATAACATACAGTTGTTGCTGGTTTTGTCAGGCTGCCACTACACTTGGTACATACAAACAGTATAAAGATAGATACCTTTGACAGTCCCCTCACTCTGTGACCTTCACCTTCTGTCACCTTGACCTCTAGACTAACGCTTAGTCTCTGAATATATTATATATAATTTTGATAGTAACAAACAAACCCATATAAATTGAAAAGAAGCCCCAGGGAGACCAGAGGTTCAGAACCTGAGGAAATCTAGACTTGCTTCATTTAGGGCTTTAGCATTGCAGAGGGTTTGGCAGCAGGGAAAATAATGTGGTTCAGGGACTGTGAGACAGACTACTTGACCTCGTATATCATATCAAGTCTGTTTTAATTCCAGGTTGCATGAAAGTTGTTTTCTACTTGATTTACAAAATATAATTGATTTAGTTTCATGGCGCGTGAGTTAAGATATTGTAGTATCTTAAGAACCTCTGAAATTCATTCCTACATAACCAAGCTAATTAACGAATAACTAGAAGAATTAAATGTGGTATTCTCCAGCAGGCAAGGGCCAGCTGTCCTTACCTTCTTCGGTTTGTTCAGGGAGTCCCGGAGTGACAGCATCTCCGCCAGGTCCAGCATGATATTCACCTCCATGGCCATGAAGACAATGGAGGCTGACCAGCCGGTCACCCGTCTCAGACTGTCCCTCCTCCCGTTTTTCTCTACCGCCATCATGAAGCAACAAGATGACGCTAAATAAGATACATTCCTCTTGAGACGACAAGGTCTACAAGTACGCCTGACGTAGTCTTGAGCAGAATCTTCTTAAAACCCAAGGCGTTTTTTGGATCGACTTATTAAGATTTCAACTATTTGTCTTCGGATACTTTACATCCGGCACTTATGGTATATTCGTAGATATCACTGTAGTTCCAACACAGGTATCCGAATGTATATTTTTCAAGGCACAATCTGAGATTTCAATCCGGAAGCTAAGGCACTTTTAGGTCATTTCCCGGAAAGCAGAATCAGTTTGATACAAAGATACACAAACTCTGATTAGAAAGGTTTCCAAGACCACCACCATAATGACATCTATTGTTTGAGTTCAGCTCATCTCCGTGGTGTTACTTCCCCAGGCAGCAGTTACCGCCTAGTGGGAATCCCGCGGGCTTACAATACTCCACAGTGCAGATATACATACAGTATGCACGGAATTAATAACTACAATGTGTCCGTGTTCTTTATAACAAAGCGCTTATATTTCCGGAGAAGGCACGTTTACCCACAATCATCGTTGGTCATGGTATGTTGTGTGCACAATCTACCCACATGTCTGCACTCTTCTAGGGTCGTCTGCTTCTTTTTCAAGGGTCGTTTTCACATTTATCCACGGGTGGTCTTCATATTTACCCACGGGTCGTCTTCATACTTTTATCCTCGGGTCACCCTTCCTTTAAGCGACGGGTCGTCTTCACTTCAATCCGCTGGTCGTCTTCAGTTTTATCAACGGGTCGTTGTAACTTCTATCTGAGGATCGTCTTCACCTTTATCCACAGGTGGACTACACCTTTATCCAATGGTGGTCTGCACTTTTACCCACGGGTGGTCTGCACTTGTATCCAAGGGTGGTCTGCACTTTTATCCAAGGGTCGTCTTCACTTTTATCCACCTGTCATCGTTGCTTCTGTTCCCGAATCGCCTTCACATCAATCCACGGGTTGTCTTTGCCAGCGCACTGAGTACTCTATACGACTTCAGTAACTTTCCCTTTGCTAACGCAGCTTCCAGACAGGTAATAGTAATAAATATATACGGCGCACCTAAGTTGATTATCTTCAACAATAATGATGAAGGAAAGGGGACCTTTGATGGCTCCTCAATCAAATTACATGATCAAAACTTGGCTGGTGTTCTTTTAACTTTTACATTGAATCTTGTCTCTTTAAACTGTTCATTAGGTCGTCTATTAAAACCCATAATAGATAGTGGGTAGTGATGATGTAGACAGCATTCACATCACAACAACAAATCATCGTCCAGAGTAGAATCAGTCGTTAGGAAATGTTCCCCTGAGAATGATGAATCTGTTATGTTAATATGCCACCGCTAAATAACTCAGTTACACATGAAAAACTTCACGGTTGCTACATTTAATGCACAAATGCATTACATCACCATACCAAGCATATCAGCTTTCGGTCTGGACCAATATTGGAATCATTCCTTTGGCACAGATTTGCCTATTGTTGTCTTTGTCCCATTTGCCCTTAGCTAATCCTTCTATGTAATGTCCACTCTTTAAGATGAATATCCATTGATGATCTCAGGAATGGGTCTGATGACAATTTGTCTGCCAACATCTCGTCATGATATCACATAACTCTTCACTTTGCTAGTGTCGACTCGCCGTACGTATCACAAATCAAGAATGAAGCGAGAGTGTGCCTCTACCCGCCTTAGATATCTAACCATTCCTCTACGGCTTGGAGGAATTTCAAGATCGCTCTGACGAAAGTTTGAAAAACTTGTTTGTAAGATAAGCAACCTCGTTACAGGAAATCTTTGACAACCCATCTCACCTAAACTTTAAAGATAAATTGGCGTTACGTTCTTCAAACCTCCATGGCTCCATGAACAGCACACCTGAACCGTTTTATACAGTACATATGTGACGTATTAGTAAAACTGTAACGTTTTATTCAGGTAAAACTGTGATACCATAAACTACACGTCTAAATATCGATGAATTACATATGTATCTAATGCGAATATTGATCATGCTACAATCCGATGGTTGGGGGTTCGAACCTCCGATTCTGGCTCTCATGAACCATATCTAACCCCGTTGGTTTCACCGAAACGTTATCGGTCCGTGACCTGCATCCCTCATGGTTAAGCTAACAAGACATGGAATGAACAAAACTGTAACTTGGTCAATCTCTTATTAATGACGCCAAGCCAAGTTTATACGATTCGTGAAAAGTCATGACATTATCATAAACCCCACTAATGAAAAAGATATAGTGCAAAATTAGTTTTAGCCCCCAAGACCCAAGCGTTATTAAAACGTTACTAGACTGGTTTGCTTAATCACTGCAAACTTTATGTCCAAATACATCATCATCCATTAACATCAAACATGGGTGTCCCTGAACACATTATTTTCCCTACTGCCTAGCCCTCCCTGCAATGCTAAAGTCCTAATGAAGCAAGTCTAGATCCTCCCAGGTTCAGGCTCTGGTCTCCCTGTGGCTCCTTTTCAATTTAAATGGATTTATCTGTTACAATAAAAATTATATATTCAGAGACAAAGTGTTAGTCTAACATGGGTGTATACTCGTCATTTTAAGTTGCAAAACAATCGTGATTGTGAGTTTCCATGAACTGGTCATATCTGTCTTATTTACCTCTCTATTGAAAGAAATATCGCAAGGAACCATAACAGTCTTTGAGGATTTGTTTAAATACCATTTTGCAAACATGTATTTCATTTAGAACAGAGTTAATACGAAGGTATTTTGTAAATTCCGAATTTCTCTACAATTTGAATGTTAATCCAAACAAACTAAGCAAGGGTGCTCAAAGACAGCACACTTTATGTAACCATTGTGACAGCGGACAAGTTCAGGATGAATTTCATATTTTAAATATTTCGATGGCAAATATGTATGTAAATCCCAAATGATAAATTTGTTGAATTCACAAAACAGATGTACCGTTAAAGCAATAACCAAATTTCTGAGTGCGTATTCTCCAAGAATCTTTGAAACAGTGTTTAAATTATTTTTTCTATTTTCTTACCACGTGACAACAAAAATGTTGTAACAAATATTGTAACATGGGCCAGTTGGCCAATATTACTGAATACAATCTGTCTGTCTGTCTGTCTGTCTGTAACGTTACAGGAAGCGATGTGCTAGAAAGGATGAAAACGATTGCTTGTACAAACATCCTTCTGCAGACAGTTTCAGTTCATTTCTACAATTTAGCTCTTCAACGTAAAGTGCTGCACCAAAAAAGTCTCATAAACAAAGCAGCTATGTTGTCCCTATGTCAGACATTAGGCTTGTTAGCGTCCACTTAGCCGGTCACACCACATTAATATAGACAAACGCCAACTGCACGATTCGTAAGTTTAAACTTCAACAACTGTTTTTGTCATTATAAGTGTACGCGTGGCTACAGGCACAACACAGGGCGTTAGTGCTACCCTACAGCTTCCTGTATGATATAATGAGCTCGGGTCACCCAGTGCAACCCATCCTTTATGTGAATGGATGCATATTGTGTCATAAGAAGCAGGAAGTGAACATCACAGCGTCCTACGGCCGTTACTATATTGTCAGGAATGATAAAGAACTATGTATTCCACAGACAGGGTCAGCACAGGGGCCCATTTAGGCCTGCAGGAACTGTCAAAGTGTTTAAGTTCCATAAAAAAAAATATTGGTACGAAATTATCAGGCACTTTCAAAAGGTTCAAACATTGTCTTATGTCTTTATGAGTTTTGGATCTGTGACACAAAAATCACACACTTCCGATTTCAAGAGAAACTCTAAGTTTGCACAAACTGTTGACCAAGGTAAATATGTTTGCCATATATTTGCACCATTATCTACGTATAAAACAATTAGCCTATGTCAAATACTTGCTCATGTTTACATATTTCACAATATCATATTCTCATATTAAAAAATAAGATTCCTGAAGACTTCGCAGATGAACCTTTTGACAACTGTTACCCTTATCTATACATTTAGCATTCTTATAAGTCCACCACACGAAATTGTGAAACGAACAAAATCTAATGCTCATAGGGCTATTAACATATTTGATTACCGCCATAACCTATTTGTACATACTTTCCTCATTCCCTAAGTGTGGCAGAAAAGGGGTCGTCACACAACGTTCTGCTTGGGAAAAACAGTTCTCAATACTTTTGTAAAAGTTTACATTTTGTGCTACGCATAAGTTTAACTTCTACCCAGCACTTTCTTCAATCATAAAGCCCTGGATGAAGTCCAGATTCCCTCAGGTTCAGGTGTGTAAGCAGGCGTCCACGAAGTGAAACATTTTGGGTGCCGAACATCAAGAGGCTCAAGCAAACATATCCACTAAGAATAAAGGCCGCCTTCCTTCGAACAGCAAAATAGCATCGGTTATTTATCACAAGAAACGGCCATGATGATGATGAATATTATGCCAATAAATACAAGCGACGAAACTCTTTCCATATTCATATGAAATCTCTGCTATTAGCAGAAACAATTCTGCATTTCACTAATCAATCAAGAAGAAGCGTTGCGACAAAGTTGGTCTCTCTCACCGTCCATGAGCCACAATATTTTCCCTTCTACCAGCCCTTTCTGCAATGCTGAAGGCCCAAGATGAAGCAAGTCTAGATTGTCCTTAGGTTCAGGTTTTGAATCTCCCATCTCACTGAGGTTCCTTCTCAATTTAAGTTGAACTATTTGTTTCTATCAGAATTAAATATATTCGGAGACCCTGGACAAAGTATACCCAAGACACTCTAGATTTCATCTGGAAAAATGAAGAAAGACTCTGGGCTCTTTGGTATTATAGTTTATAAACATAATGTAGGAATTTCTTTTTGTCTGTATGTTCATTTCAGAGACTAGATTTTAGCCTGATTTAGTACAGATGTGCCTCGTTGCAAGTAGGTCTGCACGTGGCGTTCTATCTGTAGACTAAAAATTATTGCTTTATCAGAAAAATGGTTTCATGATTTTAAGGAATGCCAAGGGACATTTTAGTTACTATATACAACTGTATTTGTTACTTTTATACTTTAAACTTTATACAGTAATATACTGCATCGGAATATGGTTGAACTGTTTCCATGAATAGCATGTGAATGTCTGCAACTAGTACACGTTGTTTAGTCGGAATGTGGTTGAACTGTTTCTAGAAATGGCATGTGCTTGTGTATGGTGTGAACTACCACATGTCACTGTGTCGGACTATGGTTGAACTGTTTCTAGGAATGTCATGTGTTGTGTATGGTGAGAGCTACTGCATGTCACTGTGTCGGAATATGGTTGAACTGTTTCTAGGAATGTCATGTGTTTGTGTATGGTGAGAGCTACCACATGTCACTGTGTCGGAATATGGTTGAACTGTTTCTAGGAATGGCATGTGAATGTCCGCAACTACCACACGTTGTTTAGTCAGTCTGAACTGTTGGTAGTGAATGGCACGCTGTTTAGTGAATGTCTGTTTCTAGGAATGTCAACTTGTGTGTCGGAATATGGTTGAACTGTTTCTAGGAATGTCATGTGTTTGTGTATGGTGAGAGCTACCACATGTCACTGTGTCGGAATATGGTTGAACTGTTTCCATGAATGGCATGTGAATGTCCGCAACTACTACACGTTGTTTAGTCGGAATATGGCTGGACTGTTTCTAGGAATGTCATGTGTTTGTGTATGGTGTGAACTATCACATGTCACTGTGTCGGA